GGGACTATGTCTGCCCGTGTGCAGAGACCGCTGTCCTGTAAGAGCGCTCTCCAGAGTGTAGCCAGGGGCTCTTCCGACTGAGCCCACTGCCCACACCATGCAGGATTGCCCACCCTGCAGAACGGGATGGGACAGTGTTTCGGTGCCACTGGTTACCCACGACCTGGGGGCCGTGCCTCGTCCACGTCTGTCCGTGTCCTGTTTTCCCTGGGCTGTCCACACCTGTTCCCTGCAGGGCTCGTGCTTCCGGGGCCTCCTGCCGTGGCCTGGGGCCCTGTCTCCGTGTCCCTGGCAACCGGCCACCCTTTGTTTCTGGCAGGGACGTCTTTGATGTTGACTTCCTGTCGTCGGAGGACTCTGAGAACTCTTCCAATGAAGACGTGGACGTGGAAGGCATCTCCGTCCACGAGGTCGGTGCAGGCTGGGCCCCCGGGCGGTGGCCACGTGGGGGCGCTGGCCTGGGCCTGCCTTTCCTGCCATGCCCCCTCATCCCGGGGTGGTGCAGAGGCGGGACGTCCCATCTGATGGGGTCTCCTGGGTGACGCCGTGGCCTCTGCGCCCAGTGGGGGTGGGAGCAGGTCCGTCCACATGTTCATGGCGGGGGGGTGGGGTGGAGATTTGGGCTCCGGTCCGACAGCTCACCAGGTGTCTGCTGTGTGGACGATCGCCTGGCTGCGAGCCTGGGGGTGGGGCAGGCCCCTGAGCCGTCCCAGGTGCGTGCGCTCCAGGCTCGCGTGGTGTGCTAGGGGCCCGAGGCTGGCAGGGTGTGGTCCCCACGCTCTGGCCTGCGTGGCTTAGGACACTAGGTTTTGGGGTGCCCTGGGGGCCTCAGCATCTCTGTTGGCTCCTGCCTGGCGGCCCCCAAGTCACACGTCTAGGATGGGTCTGGCCCTCAGAGCGGTGCAGAGGCTCCTGGCAGGGCAGCCCCGCGTCGTGAGCACACCCACCCTCCACCATGCGGACACCTGGGCGGAGTCAGTGTTCCAGCCCGAGGGCCCTGAGCAGTGGGAGTGCGGGAAGGCTGTGCCCCGTGCCCGTCCCGCATCCCCCGCCCTGCTCGGCTGCTCCCAGGGCCTGGCAGGCGGGGGTCCCAGTCCGCTGTCCACCCCACCCAAAGTGCCCACCCCACGCTGACTGGAAACCAGCCCGGGCCACGGTGTGCACCGCTGTGTCTCCGTCCACGTGTCTGTGTGTCTGTGGGTCCTGAGGGCTGTCCGTGTCTCCGTCCACGTGTCTGTCTGTGGGTCCTGAGGGCTGTCCGTGCGTCTGTCCACATGTCTGTCTGTGGGTCCTGAGGGCTGTCCGTGTCTTCGTCCACGTGTCTGTGTGTCTGTGGGTCCTGAGGGCTGTCCGTGTCTCCGTCCACGTGTCCGTGTGTGGGTCCTGAGGGCTGTCCGTGTCTCCGTCCACGTGTCCGTGTGTGGGT